CCTAACCCTAACCCTAACCCTAACCCTAACCCTAACCCTAACCCTAACCCTAACCATCCTCAGCCTACCACTAGTGGCCGGATCCAAACCTAAATGACTCAGATCAGCCGATCGGGCTTAGAGGCCCTAGTATCAGTCGCTTCTCCTAAGCGGATAATAGACCTATGATACGCCCTACTATATATCGAGATAGTATACGTAGGGCGGAGAATTAAAGCCTCTATGGAGGATTTGAAAATAAACGAGCCTAGATCCTTACACTATGCCTGATAGTGTGATATCGCGGAGTATTCTCGCCTTTAAGCCATTAAGTTCTTTTCTTTCTATCTCTCCTATATCTTTGCTTCTCATCCCGATTCTTTCCTCGCCTGTTTCACTATAAGCCTCGTACCTAGATACTGAACAATTAATATAGCAAATATGCCCCTCGTTGACGCCCTCATTATCGGCGCAGGTCCTGCCGGCCTGTCTGCAGCCCTAGCCCTTGCCCGTCAGCTGCACACTGCCATTGTCTTTAACAGCTCACTCTTCCGCAACGCGCGTTCAGCGCATATGCATACCGTCCCCACTTGGGATCACAAAGACCCCTCTGCCTTTAGGAGCGCGACGCGCAAGGAGATCTTGGATCGGTACAACACGATCTCATTTGAGGATCGCGAAGTTGCCAAAGTTGAGAAGACTAATGCGGGCGACTTCACGGCGACGGCTGTAGATGGGACAACATTTACAGGCAGGCGAGTCTTACTTGCTACTGGGGTTACTGATTTGCCGCTCGATATCAAAGGATATGATGAGTGCTGGGGTCGATCTATGTGCGTTTTCCCCCCAATGGCCATAGCACATATCGCTAACTGCCGCAGCTATCACTGCCTCTTCTGCCATGGCTATGAGGAGGCCGGAAAGTCCTCAGCTGGTGTCCTTGCCGTCGGCGAGACCTCTGTCCCAGCAGGAGCCATAGCTCTCGCTCGCAGTACCAAGCAGTTAACCTCCAAGGCTGTGATCTACTCCTCAAACAATCCCGCAGTGCAGACTGCAATCACAGACCTTCTCGACCAAAGTACTACCGCCGACATCACAACAGACGATCGGGAAATCATCTCCCTTGCTCTTGGCGCGGAAGGTTGCGGAATCACTATTACATTTGCAGACGGGAGCTCAGTTCAGGAGGCGTTTCTTGTGCACAGGCCGGCTACGAAGCTGAACGGCCCGTTTGCAGAGCAGTTAGGTGTGGAGTTGTCGCCGGGTGGAGATATCAAGGTGACACCACCATTTGGAGCCACTAGTGTTAAGGGAGTTTATGCGGCAGGAGATTGCGCGACCCCGATGAAGAATGCCATGCAGGCGATGCAAATGGGGACTTTTGCGGGGGTGGGACTTGCGCATGACTTGCAGGCTGAAGGGCCTAAGATGTAAAAGCGAGGGCAAACGACTTCACAATGCGCCTACACTCCGGAGATACAAAGTAGAATGGGTTCAATTTCTGTAGCGAAAACAAAGTATTCCAATACCTCGTGTGACTTTCATAGGAGATACTGATTGAAACTAAAATTTGTCGCAGCATTTTACGGCTGCTTGAATAGGCGTTACAGGAAGGCTAATAATCATTACACATCGGTGTCTCATAGCGGAAGAAAAATGTTGCTTCATTGTCAAGGGGTTTTAACTACAAGCACACGAATCCATCCTATCAGGGTTCACACGCCCTATTTCAACGTTGGCCTCTTATGTCTGCGCTGTCTGCGTCGCCCAGAAAGTAGACATTAGACCTGTTTCACCCGTTGTAGCCCAGGGGTTCAGTTCCCGTCTGGCCTTCAATGAGATCGAGGATTTATTTCTGCGGGTCTCTTCCAGCAAGGCAGTTCCGCCAGTTCTTGCTTTCACTAATTTTCCTCGTGCTGGCCCTCTTTGTCCGTCTAGCTACGTTGTTAAAGCCCTTCGCAATTTGAATCGCGGTTCGAGCTATTTTAACGACTCTTGCGACAGTCGAGAGAGCAGACAGGAAGATAACAATCAGCGGGCAAATTGGGCATCGCTTCGTCAAATCGCCGCGGAGCACCAGATCCGTCCTGGGTGACATGCGGATCGCGTTCCGGGAAAACTTGTTGGGTATGTTGTCACGGCCACGGGCGGCGGGGACAAGGGCGATCTCGCGTTTTTGATTTCCCTCGCCGATGTTGACGTACTTGTCGATATAGTCGTCGTTTTCGAAGAGCTCGTCTGACGAGTCGTCGACCCACTCGTCAACTTCGAGCCCCTCGGGCCAAAACTCAAGCAATTCCATGCTGTCGGTCCAGTCCTCGTCAAAGGTTTCGCTGTATTCTTCGACAGCAGCCACACCCATGGCCAAGGGGACGAGAGCAAGACAACGAGCCTGAGCAGCAGTGTCAATAGTTGGTTATCGCTTGGAATTCGAATGTGGCACAAGACCTGAGAAGAGGTTGCCGCTGATCGTGGGATTACATACCATGCGCCGAACTTTGGTCCGGTCTTCTCGGTTGCGTGCTCTGTCATAGGTGCGTTGATGCGCTTTCTTCCACCTCTCGAAACCGCGATTCTCCTTATACGTCTGTCGTTTTTCTTTGTAGACCTCATTGAACTTCTTCGACTTCTTGTCTTCGACACATTTCTTCTGCTCTCCGTCCGGCTTTTGACCATTCGGACAGTCCTTACATTTACTGCAGTCATTCGGATTGATGATCTTTCCGGCTGGGCAGTTGTCAACGCAATTGTTGCAAGCCTCTCTATAGTCCCAAAACTTGACCTGATTGTTGCCCTGGTTTCCGCCTTGATTCTGACGCGTGTGTAGTTCGGAAGCGTACTTGTCGCGCCCAAAAAGCGTACCAGGATGGAGAAGCTCTGGAGGATAATGGGAAGCGATAACGTGGTTGACCATTACGAAGATGGCCTTGGTGGCTGAAGAAAAGCGCATGATGACGAAGACTTGGATACAGGTATCTGAAAGAACGGAATCAATATTGGGAAAGAATTGATAAGAAAACGAAAAAGAATGATAGATGGCCTTCTGCTCTTAAGTCTGTCAGCCAAAATGCATTGAACTCAAAGATAGTTCAAACATTGTTATCAGACTTGTACGTAGTGTTGGGTTCACGACGTGTGAGACCCGGAGGTCGCACCCAACAGTAACCCTGAGGGCACCTTCAGCTCATTAACGGGGTCCATGTACGGGGGCTGAATCCTCCACGGCACAGTTTCTCTCCTGCCTCAGGGTGACATGAGGCGGAGCATGCATATGCAGCAAGAGGTGTACACAACCTGAACTTGCCTAGACCTTGGCGACTGCGCGACGTTCGGGGGCGGGGCCGATTCGTTATCACCCGTGTCACTGACATCGATATTGTCCTTGGCATCAGACCAGAAATAGACCCAAAGTCGAAAACACGATACTTTGTCTACCTCCAAGTCTATGATATACACAACGACATAGCTACATAGGAAATACTTATTGGTACATCTGCGTTGTCCTCCAGCACGATGATTGGGGTCATGATACAGGGGTGATGGGGGCTTTTGACAAAAGACATGTTGCATGACACCCTCCCCTTTCCATTTTTTTAAATGAATATCTGAGAATAGCACTGTTTTTTGATGATAATACACTTGCTGATTCTCGTGTCGTGTCATATCTTTGATTCTCTGTGCCAATTGCAACCCATGTACTTGACAAGTCTTGTATGACGTGGTGGGAAGTTCTTCATATTAGCTTGATAGATGATTGATTGGCGATTGTCGATATTCAAGAAGTACATGCATCTATTTCATGAGCCAAAATTTCGATCCAGTGATGTAAAGGCGATGTTCCATAATAATTGCGAGGGTTCATTCCAACCCCCCCGGACTAAACACATGGACCGGCTACGAATGACTAGGAGCCTGAATACACAAACATGCATGTCTGTGCCTTGATGTCAACGTCGAAGTATATTCTGCAGATCTATGCGTAAAGATATTTGGACAGGGCTGTATTCAATGCTCTGATCCCCTGCAATTAGGAGGCTCAAGAGGGGCTAGGGGCGAGTCTTCCTCCATAAAAGCGCATGAGGAGAGAGGCAACATGAAGGTAGCCTTATGACACTTTGTTCATGAGACACTGGCGAAGTTTTTTTGCGTTATGATATATTAATGGACGAAATTCGTTGGCTTTTTCTACTCGTGCATAACAAACAGCCTCACGTGGGTCTCCAATCCCAGTGGCAACTGGAATGCAGGATTTCATTTGTATGAGCAGTATGTAGGGACGCACAGGCGCCCGTTTGCCCCTAGGGGATTTTAAGGCGTTTAAATATATCATCATCATCATCATCATCATCATCAGCCTCACGTGGGTTTGAGCAATTACTGATACCATTTCCTCACGAATGGAATTTGAAAGTTGCAAAGACATGATCTGCATTTTACACAGGTGGAATTCGATGTATGTGAGTTGTTTGATATGATTTAAATCTAACCAGGTTGAGTAGAAAGAAGTCCGAAGCATGACTCACGCGTGACGCATCACACGTAGCCTGGCTACCCATCAAGTACGTAAAGCGTAAGCATCCAAGTATGCAGTGAAACCCAAGACCTGCCCTTCTGTGAGTGATGTGAATTGACTTCTACATGAGTATGGAGCGTTTATGAATCTGGCATTGGGCCTTGAGCTTTAATCTTCAAGACACACATTAGCGCGATGTCCTTTGGGGCGGATGTGGGTTCGATATCGTACCACTCATGACATTCCAAACCTGAAAAGAACCGTAATTCGGGCCATCTCCGGTGCGCAAGCAACCGCCCTCGGCCTTGTCGATAATCGTCTCGGGATTGCAGTCGTCCGAAGCGAACATAACCACGTAATCGGGGTTTTCCCCATCGCCGAGGCCCTTGACAGTAAACGATTGGGCCACACCAACATGGTCGGTATGGCAGTCTGGGGAGGCCTCGACTTCTACAGAGCCGAGCGCCGCGCTGTTGCACGAGTTGCCATTGTAGAAAGTAAGTCTGTGCTTGAAACATGATGACACTGATGCAACCGCCACGGCGGTTGCCAGGAGTCTAATAGTGATGTGCATGGTGAATGGAGAAGATGTAAAGAGTTTGCGGTGCTGTATCAAATATCTTGCTTGATGGTAGTGAAGTGCTTAACCGTCAAACGAGAAGGCTTTGCGTGAGATTTGGTCGGTGGGTGATGAGAGGCTGGGCGTGACGTTGTGTCCTCACCAATTCTGTGGAGTGTCCCGTAGAATTTATAACATCAAGCCATCCTCGTTTCGAAATAATACAGGACCAGAAATACACCAAAGCCGATTGAAACTTTCAATCTCAAGCAATGTCGTAGATAGTACTTCATTGATCGATGTCATGTACAAGATGGTACCCGCGGCCGGCTGAAATGGGGGCCTACACGCGCCAACCTGCGTGTCTTGGCTGGGGGTCCGGAATAGCCGCTAGCCTTCAAGAGCCAAGACCCGCGACATGGGGGCGGCAAGATGCGGTGCTCAGCACTGGTTCAGCATACACTAAACATACCAAGAGGCCAAGCAGAAACAGTGTGGCTTGTGAACACCAGAGCATTGGCACCGCTGGCCATTGGTTCGTTGAGGTGAGGTGCGGCCAAGACTAGGTGCCGATTGACGAATGGGCAAAACAATTTTGCTTGCCCAGCCCAGCTATACAGCCCTGCGGCACAAGAATGCAGTCGTCTGAGAATTGCACACGCATATGCAGTCATACCAGCGTTACAATGATTCTTCTTAACATAGGTACTCCAAGATTTTGACGTTGCAAACTGCTCTTACGGCCCCCAGAAGTGTATGCGACACACGCTGAGTGCATGACCACGCGACATGTTATGAAATGCGCCGAGTTCCAAGATCCTTCGAGTATATTCCCTCGTCAATACAGCCTACATGGTCAGAGTCGAGCTCATGATGACTTCTGTCAATCCATTTGGGCGTGCGTCGAAGCCCCCAACAGCCGCATATTGCGTTCGTTGGGGGCTGCACACAATTCGAGACCAATTGCAGTTGTGGCATCAATTATACCATTCGACATGGCAATGGTTGTTAAAATGATTAAATAGTTGTACTTCTCCGCCAGGAAGCGGCTCGTCTGGAGTCATCATTCTCATCTAGCACTGCTCTCAAGTAGTCCGAGACTGAGCAACATCATCTTCATTGTCATCTACCTTTCTCTGACTTATCCTTCCACTCCTATTCTCATTTGCAGGTCGAAATTCATACAGTTTCTCGTCATGAAATTCTCCATTCTTTACGTACAGCTTGCATGGCTGACAGCCGCGGCAACCGCTGCACCGCAAGGAGGCGGCGGAGATGCATCCGACAACGGCGTTTCATGCAAAGCTTTCAAGCATTGGGACTGCGCAAATCCTCCACGCGTCGATGAAGTTGAACTCCTTGACCTAGGAGATCTGAGCCTTGAGGATGCACCAGCGAGAAGACTACGTCTCAGGGACGTCGACTTCTCCGACGTAGACGAAAAGACTGGATTCAATGTCACAGAGTTGATGAGAAGAGAGAGTGCCATCGAAACAGACGACAAAACTCTTCATTCGAAGATCTTGAGGTTACTCTTAGACCCTGAGGTTGTCGGCGACAAATCGGAGGTTGCGAACTTGTACTACAAACGACAAGCCGACGACGGGGACAGCGGCGACGATAGTGACAACGATAACAAGTTTGACGCGAATAAACCCGATAAAGTCTTTGCCGACAACAGCGCTGGCCCCGGGAGTGCACATACTTACAATATGTGTACTCCTAAGATGTCCTACAGAGTGCAGGGATACGAAGGTACCACGGACCTTTACGATCTGGAAAACTGGGGTGACTGTAAAAACTTCAACATCGTGTACAAGAAAAATACGATGAACAACAGGAATGGCCTACGAACATACATTCGGGAGCATATCTTGGAGAAGCAAATGCTCCAGATTTTTATTAACCAGAAGTTCAAGGGCCAAAAGGGAAGCCCCGTGCCTTCTTATGATACGAATGTCATTAAAACCCATTGCCACTATCTCCAGCGCTTCTGGGAGGGCAAAGGTAAATTAAGTCAAGTTGGAGAGAAAAAGGATAAGGCTTGGGATGCTGTAGCCAGAGCGTGGCCCTACAGAGAAAATAAGGATCATTCCAGGTAAGACGCCGAACCCCGCCTCGCATTTTGAAACCCTTCCTCTGTCCCCTTACTTCGCTTCTTTAAATAGGAATGAATACACTTGAACCCGAACTAACAAGCCATCAAGCGATGTTAACGACATTGTCTGGTTAGAGGAAGAGCTCAATGGTTATAAGGAAAGGGTATGTTCTTCCCTGTATTCAAACGTATGATAACGGCCTGGGGCAATCTCTCCCTTCTCGTTTTCTTAAAGAAGGTTACACGTTCAGATGGTTGACCTCTGACGTGAGAAAAGCAGGCATTCGATAGTTCCAAATCCTTAAGATCCGACAAGAAGATGAAAAGTTCTTTGCAAGACATCCACGAAGCAAAACATGCAGCGACTGCGTTGAGAATGACTATTCTGGTCGGCAAATACATGGACAACGATGGCATCAGCGCCATTTACAAGGCTCAAGCGCAGAGAGTTGCGGTTAAGTTCAACGAAGTCGAAGATGCTTTGGTCGTGAATTGGCAGGGTTCGGGAACGGAGTATGAGCGGCTTGATCTGTCCGGAAAATGGCTGCAATTTATGAAAGAATGGACGGACAGAACAAACAAAAAGCTGGAAGACTTTCTCCTCAAATATCTGCCGAGGGCTAAGCAGCTGATCAAAGAGGCAGATGACAAGGCTGCAGAGCTGAAGAAGGAGAAGAAGGAGCTCCCGAAAGATGACAAGGATCTACTGGATACGCTGAGGGCTACAGTGGAGGAGATCGAGCGGACAACAGGCCCCAACAAGCCAAAAGCTTTATTCAAGAATCCCTTCTAGATAGACCGACAGACAAGAGGGAGATCACAGACTCACACGCTAGTTCCTTAAGTTGAATTGAAATGCGAGAGTTTCGTTTCGTTATGGAGCAATAACAACATTGTGAGCGGGGGAGAAAAGACCATGTTTCAAAACAGATACAATACTCCATCCCCAGTGACAGACTGAAGTCAGACGCTCAGAACCTTGCAGGTGATAATTTTGGAAAGCAGTCAGTGCATTTTCAATATGTACTAGAATATACCAGCGTGCACAGCATGACACCTGCAGGAATGGAGCTCACGCAGCGGCAGCTATTAATAACATGCGCTGGTTAGCGCTCAGTGGCGCGGCGGGACCAGCCGACGGCCATGACCCCACTCCTGTCACCTACAGGTACAAATGGTGAGCTTGGCGTACACTGTACCCTGCGTACAAGGGGCGGGGCCAGCTTAGACTTCTTTTAATACCCGCTGCAAACCTGGACCTGGAGTATAGATAGAGATGGTACAAATCCACTGTTCCTGCCGCCTCGAGAGAAATCAGGGGTTATCTCCATTTATTTTAAACAAGCTCAAACCCCATTTCGTCCAGGCCATCACAGAACCGACCTTCAGTTACAGTTCCTAGTATCGCAAATTGCCCAGCACATCGTCAAGATGGACAAACTTGGTCTCGACATTATCTCCATGATCTTTGATGAGATCAGGCAGCTTCATCAGGCAGAAAGACTACAAAGAAAATATGCAAATTTTGCAGCGATTTCGCGCGCGTGGCAGGCTGTCGTGGAGCCTCAGACGATGAGATTTATCGATGTTCCAAGTTCGTCTGACGGCATGGCTTGGTTTTCCCGCATCTTCTCACGAACATATCGCCGATCGTACCTGCGAACCGTCATACTGTCGTCGAAGATGCCCACCAATGCCGCCACCGCCGAGGAGCATTGCCAGAATGAGGAAACCGTGGCTACGGATGTTTCGACACTGCTCCGCGAAATCCATCGCTGGGAGCAGAACCTGTCGGACGAGGCTCTTGAGCCATTGGAGCTCATACTCGTATCCGAATGGCCCAATAGAGAGACCCATCTTCACAGTTCCCCAGCCGAGGGTCGCTACCTCACGATGAGTGATGCTGACGTTGCCGAACTCCCAAGGCCGCGGCGCATAAAGCACTTCCAGGTCGGTGGTTGCTCGCCAGGCCTAGCCCTGCATCCGACGAGCTTGTGTCGGCTGGCATGTGTCTTGCCGCTCCTTGAAACGGTTGATCTTGAAATTCTTGATCCTGGGCACGGACGCCCACAAGTTCGCTTGCAACATCGCAATGCTCTCGCCGACGGAATCACTATGATTTCGAAGTCCTTACATGGGCTGAGAAGATTCAAGCTTCGGCAAGAGGGCGGAGACAGTCCTGACAATCACAGCTATCAGTGTAAGAATTTGCAAGACAAGCAGGGGGTCGATAAGCTCTGCGAGGCCATTCGGGTGCTTTCTCAGATGACTGGATTTCTGGAGCTCAAGCTGGACATTCCTAGCATCTCATCTGATCTTTTCTGGGATCATCGCCATTGCGCATCCGTTAGCGAAGACAAGTCCGTCTGGCCCTCTCTCAGGCGCCTCGAGATCGACTGTGGCATCGTGTTGCCCAGTGGACAATGGTATTATACCGGGGACCGAACGAAGGAAGGAGCTTTGCAGCAAGGGCGTGAAGACGAAGAATTCGATACAGACTTTGGAGTCATGAGTTCAGGACAGGAGAGCGACGGCTCAGACGCGGAGGACGACCCGGCCTGGCTATGGCCACAACATTTGTGGCGCATGGAACCGGACCCGGAGACTATGAGCCCACTGGCGATTAGCATGGCTGCCGCTGTGCGTCGGATGCCGAATCTGCAATCTGCTACTCTTCATATGGATTTCTCCTCCAGTAATTGGCGGGCCATTTGCCTCCAATGCGTGGAGCCCAACGGTCGCTTTCCAATCTACGATGACGATGGCGAAGGATCGGCGTTTCGCAGATGGCGAGCTGTAGTTGAGAGGAACGTGCGGTGGAAGGCGCCCTTGGAGATGGCGAGGGAGACGGAAGCCTGGACGGGAAAGGACCCAATTAGGGTTCAAGTCGATTAGTGGTCCTGATAGTGAGCAATTCTAGTCGGGGTCTGACCACTTTGCCTGGCCATGAACCTACACAGGCCCCTGATCCCCCGTTCTTTGCCTTGGCCTCATTTGGTCAATCAAGCTTTCTTTCTTCTCTCCACATGCTCCAGGATCTGAAAAGGCTATACCTAAGAACGTTCAACATGAATAGCGTGATTCTCGCAACATGCCCACCGCGCGCATTATGTGAAAGGAAAGAGCGTAGTTCTCCTCTCGAATGCCGCTTCATCGTGGCAACTATGATAGTGGGTGTCAGGCCACCCTACGGAGCCGCGAGGGGGCCGCTAAATAAGGAGGCCGTTCAGGGGGCTAAGGGCCACGAGAGGACGCATATATAGGCTCCGGAGGGCCCTCCAAGCTGCGGAGGCCAGAATTCAGATGTATTCCGATCCTATACCTATATTCTAACTACCTATGGACCCCGTGGAAGACCCCTTCACTCTGCTCTAAACCACGCTCTGACGATGGGCTTGCCTCCCTCAAGCATGATCCACAATCTGGCTCTCGACAAAGCACTACCGCGATCTTCATATACATCGCTGTAAAGTTCTCTTACTGCCCGATCTTCCTTGATAGCGGACTCAATCTAATTGAAAGGGTGCGATGGTCCTCGCGAGCTGGTCCAGCCCGGAGCTCCGATCCTCGCGTCGACCTGAAAACACATGAACACCCTTATAAAACAAGTGTCTGTCGGAACTATTTATTTGTCCCTCAAGACATTGATTGTAGTTGAAGCCCTTAAAAGGAGGGGAAGGGCAAACTGCCGTGCCATCGAGGATTCACATGACGATGACCGGAACGACGGAACAAGGCAGCTCAACCCAGCAATTACGAGACAGAGAGGCAATAGGATGAAACGCAAGGAAGCAAAATTTGCCAGTCCAATTCCAAAGCTATACTATGCAGTTACAGTGAGTGAGTCCAAAAAGTCGAATGTTGATACATTCCCAGCGAAGAGAGAGCACACGCAGCAAAAGGCCGAGTTCATGAGGGAAGACAGTCATCCTCCCAACCAAATTAAGCCGCCAAGCCCAGAGACGTGAGCTCAGAAGTCGTTACAACTGAAAGCAACCTTCAACCTGACATCACTCTCAGCATCATTGTCTACATGGACACGAGACAGCTCTCCGCTCAGCACATACGACCATACCTACTGGAAAGCTCGGGATCCCGTCCGCTCTCCCATC